AGCTGAGAGCCTTTCCCTTAAGATCAGGAACATGTCAAGGATGCCCACTCTCGCCACTATTGTTCAACATAGTACTAGAAGTCCTAGCAACAGCAATCAGACAACAAAAAGAAACAAAATACTCAAATTGGCAAAGAAGTCAAACTCTCTCTTTTCGCAGATGACATGATACTTTATGTGGAAAACCCAAAAGACTCCACCCCCAAATTACTAGAACTCACACCACAATTCAGTAATGTGGCAGGATACAAAATCAATGCACAGAAATCAGTTGCTTTCTTATCCACTAACAATGCAACTGTAGAAAGAGAAATTAGAGAAACTATTCCATTTACAATAGCACCAAAAACCGTAAGATACCTTGGAATAATAAAGAGGTAAAGGAACTATACTCTAGGAACTACAGAACACTCATGAAAGAAATTGAAGAAGACACAAAAAGATGGAAAAATATTCCATGCTCATGGATCAGAAGAATAAACATTGTTAAAATGTCTGTGCTACCCAGAGCAATCTATACCTTCAATGCCATCCGAGATCAAAATTCCAATGACATTTTTCAAAGTGCTAGAACAAATAATCCTAAAATTTGTATGGAATCAGAAAAGACCCCAAATCGCCAAGGAAATGTTGAAAAAGAAAAACAAAGCTGGGGGCATCACGTTGCCCAATTTCGAGCTATATTACAAAGCTGTGGTCACCAAGTCAGCATGGTACTGGCACAAAAACAGACATATAGACCAATGGAACAGAATAGAGAGCCCGGATATGGACCCTCAACTCTGTAGCCAAATAATCTTCGACAAAGCAGGAAAAAATATGCAATGGAAAAAAGACAGTCTCTTCAATAAATGGTGCTGGGAAAATTGGACAGCCACATGCAAAAGAACGAAACTCGACCATTCTCTAACACCATATTCACCTTTTTTTAAAAAAAAAATAATTTTTATTTATTTGAGAGAGAGAGAATGAGAGACAGAGAGCACGAGAGGGAAGAGGGCAGAGGGAGAAGCAGACCCCCTGCTGAGCAGGGAGCCCGATGTGGGACTCGATCCCGGGACTCCAGGATCATGACCTGAGCCGAAAGCAGTCGCTTAACCAACTGAGCCACCCAGGCGCCCCATATTTACCTTTTTACATGTGGTCATTATATCAACTACATATGAAACTCAGTCTATAATTAAAAATTTTTCCCAACAAAATGTTTCACTACTGATGCTTTAGATCCAAGTCTTTAATTGCACTTGAGGGACATAGAATAAAGTAGATAATAAGTAAGAACCCCCCAAAAAGTAAAAGGCCTGAAGGAAAATGAGACTAAAATAAATGGGATGTACTCTTTTCTCTCTTCTATTATTTTTAAATCTTTAGATTTACAGAAAATTTGTTCAGAAGGTACAGAGACTTCCCCCATCCTCCCCCACCTTCCACCCCCAACTGCCCACTATTGCTAACATCTTTCATTCGGACGGTACATTTATTACAACTGATGAACAAATATGGACCCGCCATTATTTTTTTTTATGGAAATCTCTCTTTGGGGATTTGTGCCATTAAATAATGCAGATTGAAAGGGATTTTTAACAGCCAGCCCGGTGCTTGTGAAAATGCACGCAAGTCTCTCTCACTCTGTAAGTGGAGGGTGGTGCGCCCCCACAGTAGCTTTCTATAAGGAATTACCCTTGACTTCAGTGGGTGAGCTCTGTACTTGGACAGGCTCCCAGAACGATGGGATTTAGCCAGCAACAATTTCTAGAAAATAGAATCATTTTATTTTCTCTGGAACATGCCTTCATGACTCGGGTTTACATTAGCAAACGATCAAACACACTCACCTTTTTCCTTTTTTATGACTAGTGCTCTCCAAAAGATAAAGACCGAACAGCTTGTAATTAAACTCCATATCCATCTAAAACTAAGCCATTCAAGTTTTGAATAGAAATGACAAGGCTGACCTTTTATCCTGTAAGGAAGGAAGGAATTAAACATGGTTCCTAACCCCTAATGATAAAATAAAATCAACTTTGATATTTGAATAGCCGCGGCTTCTTTATTCCAAACAGCAAGCATTTGTCTTCCATCGTATGTTTAAATCATTGAACATTCCAAACCGTGTGCACAGAGAAGTTTTAGGAAAAGGGTCTAGTGAGGATGCGGATGTTCTGTGGTTTCATTTCGTGTTTCAGCGGGAGCCCTGAATTCCTCAAGTCCTGAGCCTGCTCTCCCTTCTGAGAGCCCGGGTTCCTCGGACATGACTAATGCGGGACTATTCACAGCCTTACCATCCTTGGTCATAATGTTGCTCGGGGCCGGAGCGGGGCTGCCAAGACCACAGTGTAGCCCTGTTAATATTACATGACAGTTGGAGATTTTTTTGGAAAACCTCCTCTGGTCCACTGTTTATACAGCCCATTGATATTTGTCTGAAGATAATTTTACAGTCCGTTTACTTACAAATGCGTCAGAAGAGTCGTGGGCTACTCCTTACAGAGCCTCTGCCAGATATAACTAATGGGGAAGCGGACTGTGTAGGCCCGGAACCTAAGAACCTGTCAGCATCCCAAACCACCACTCGGTCGCCCTGGCCTGTGCCCATTGTCCGAACATTCCAGTCATCAACATTTATGGGCTGGATTGGGGGGAAGCACATCAGAGGAGAACTTTACAAAGCGAATTTCTCACTTCTCATTTCCACTTGGTGATGGATGCATATGTTTATAGTCGTAGCCCGGTGAACTGTTTGTCACTGTCGGTCACCACAGAACCAGGCTGGTGGTGGCATGTTTCACCGCCTTGGAAAAGCAGACATTTTGGGGGTAAATCAGAGCTGGAAATATTGTCTCTGAACGGGACTGCCACATGCAAAGCGACGTTGTGGAAGGCATGATGCGTCACATGGCCCGAGACCTGACGTCATTATACCAACTCCCAGTCCTTCCTGGACACAGAGGAGACACTCAGCTCTGTCCTCGGGGGCCGAGGACACTCAGGATGAGGCTGGCACCCTGTGTTCTCGTATTCTTAAGTTTATTTGTTCTTTTGAGCCCCATGAAAAGATTCTCTAAGGCCACATTTTGACAGCCCTCCTGTTTGAAAAGATGGGCTGATATTTGCTGACAGCAGCTAGGTGGGACCTGAGAAAGAAGCTGTCCGCCCTGGGAAAACCCCAAGCAAACACAGACCCCCCCAGGAGCCCACCTCCCCAGGCCATACATATTCTGAGGGCTTTGATGTTATTTTTAGAGAAGCACAAAAATCTGAGTCTAAAATTGGCTGGCTTTCTCTGTGCCTGCTTCCCTTTCCTTCTCTCGTCCCTTCTCCATCCTGGCTGTTTCCGGGACTGTTTTGATAATGCCGATTTAGGGCGAAAAAGGCAAAGCATGAAGTGTATTTACTTAAGCGCAACTAAAAATAATAAAATGCATCTCTGTTACAAGGAGACTTCAAGCAGCCTATTGAGTTAACAGCAGCAAATGTAAGTCAGCAAAAGATGAGACACACAATTTAGGGCCATCGCTGGCCTTAGAAATGGAGTTAGGAAGAGCACAGTCCCCTTGGGATCATCCCGCCTGCACCAGCCCAGATGCAGGTCAGAGTGGGAAACCATCCAGCTAGTTGGGGGACCACCAACCAAATCCATTTAGATTGATTTGTAAAAATCACTTCATTTGGACCAAATCCATTTAAGAGGGTTTTGTTTTTTTTTTTTCCCTTCCTTGACTGTCTCACCGTATTTGTCTTGGCTTGCTTAGGCCATTTTGTCAAGAGATCAACTGCAAATTCCTGCCAGTTTTTAGTTGAAAGAACCTTCTTCGTTGGCAGGAAAATCAAGAGAACACATACATTGTAAAGCATCCTCTCTACACTGGTATTCAGGTAGCTCTTGCGAAGGACGTTGCAGACATAGGTGGAAGGACAGAGAAGTAGGAGAGAGAAGCCGTGAATCGCATGAATCGCACACTCCATGCCGGCCGCTCAGCTCACGGAGTCCTCACAGAAACACTCACTTTATACACGGTGAGCCTGACCTGAAACCCCTTTCCCGGAGTCGGCCCGGGAGAAAATGTGTTCTTCCCGTTCACCCTCAAGCCTGGGAGGCTGGAAACCTAGCTGAGAAGCTCACTCCCGTGGAACAGCCGGGAGACCCTGCCCGATGTTTTAGGTCAGTGACAGATTAATGCTGGCATTTGGGGCAAACCTGGGCTGTCCCGTCCCAGCATGGCTGGGAGTGAAGGAAATAATCCAGCTTCGCCCATCATGGGTGTCGAAGTGACTCTGTGAGTTTGGTTGGCTCCCAGACCCGAAGTCTTGCATATCTGACCCATTTTACTCATTTTCTTTCCCACAAATTGACAAATAACAAGTGTCGGTTTCAGCTTAGGTCTTGTGAAACCTTTCGTTCTCCAGATGCCTGTCATTCCCCGGGCGATGCAATCTACTTTTGTGAAATGTATGATAATATTGGGACTTTTGGAAGATGGTTTAAATTGGGAGGGGTTTGTCATGAAAATGTTTTAAAATGTAAATTCCCACACAACCATCCGAATTTGTTTTAATCTAATTATATTTGCAATCCGCGGTCTTCCTGGCAGGAATACAAGAGGCCACCTGCTCTCTTCAGAGGGAAAAACACCGCTTCCAGGCTGAGGCAGGCGGTTCCCAGTGAGGCTTGCTTTGGTCACGGCTTTCGTAGCCTGATAATTGCACAAACTCCTCCTGTAAGATGCTTGATTAAAATTCTTGATGACTTTGGTCATCGCCACAAGGCTAAGAGAATCTAATGTTCTTGAATTTGTTCCATATTTATAATATACCCAATAACCGTGTGTAGTAACCAAGCTCTCCCAAACACACAGCCAGCTGTATTTCTTTTTTTTTTTTTAAAGATTTTATTTATTTATTTATTTGAGACAGAGAGAATGAGAGAGAGAGAGAGCACATGAGAGGGGGGAGGGTCAGAGGGAGAAGCAGACTCCCTGCCGAGCAGGGAGCCCGATGCGGGACTCGATCCAGGGACTCCAGGATCATGACCTGAGCCGAAGGCAGTTGCTTAACCAACTGAGCCACCCAGGCGCCCCCAGCCAGCTGCATTTCTAACCTTTAGTAGGGTCTGCGAGCCGGCTGGCCCTGCAGCCTCATTAACCAGCCCGCCAGGGTGGTGGCTGCCATTCTAATTCATCCATGTGGTGCATGTGCGTTGTACAACCTAATCTTTTATAGACACTTGGGAGACCAAGTCACATGAGCAACCAAAGTGGGAAAATTCCCGAGCGGACGAGAGATTGAAATAAGATGTTAGATGTTTTCTGGACATTAATTTGCTCTGTGGCTTTTGAAGGTTTGGTCAAAAGGAAACTTCCATCCCTTTGCTGCCCATATCCTACAAAATGGAACTGGGAGAAGAGGTGTGGAGCAGTTTTTCTAGCCCAACGTCGATTACAAACCAAGGACAGTAAGAGAAGTATCATTTCATAGGTGTTCAAGCTTATGTTCAAAATTATAACTAGAGAGCAGAAAATCCCCATGTTTTAGATATTCTCCACTAACTTGATTTCTGGGTCCTTGAATATGATCCTCGTTTATATCATAAACACACACACACAACAGCGTAATTATCATTATGACCTATTCTATCATCTTACAAAGGAGGAAAATAGTCACCTCTGAATGTGCACAATGCTACTTATGATCGATTAGATTAAAGAAAACGTCCTCATTCTCCTTCAATAAATCAGGGAAAAGGGCTCTTCAAAAAATGAAATGTTTCAGATGATTGACCTGGATCTCTGCCTCCTATAGGGATTCTCACGTTCACGAGCACACACTCTGAGTTGCCCCCTGAAGCCTGATGAGTTCCACACTTTGGCCAGCATTCCGCTTTGTAAGTTTTAGCAGAGAACTACTTAAGAGGAAAAACAGTCTCACAAATACACTTATATTTTAAGAAGAAAAAAAAAAAGATGTAGCTCTTGGGGCTTCCAGTGCCTCTTAACAAAAAACATCTGCTGGACTTCCTGAATTTTTCTAAGACCTTGAGAACACACCCACACATTTCCAACTTCTGTCCCGACCATGGGGTGGGTTTAGCAACGCTCAGTTTTGTAACCAAGGGTTTCATCCACGGTTGTTTGGTTTTGCTTTTTATTGTAAATGCGGATCCATTTGTTTATTCCATCAATACAGTCCTGATGACCTCGTTAGTCTGGGAGGAGGGAGAAGCAGAGAGCAAGTTTACAGGTAAAAGCATCATCAGGACTCAGACTGAGGCTGTACTTGATGGGGGTTTGGTCGCGTTTTGTGCTGGTTTGGGCTTTGCTCAAAGGAGCCAGATCAACTCATTTTAGTATGATCCGTGACCTTTACAATGGAAAACAGAGTAAACTAAAGTAACGTGAAATACACAGCATAAGCCATTTCGTGAAGGTGTGAACTCAAGGGTACCTAATTGGATGTGTGGAGAAGAGACAGTGGGGTTTCGTTGGCATGTTTGCCCACCCATGGGCGCTGAAAGAAACAAAACTTATTTCTAAAAGAGCTTCTTCAAAGTCCGCGTTTTGTTTTAGGAAAACGTTCAGCTCTGTTACTTTCTAAGCAGCTCTGCTTCTGAGCAGCCCAGACTTTGACTTCTCATCTCGCTGACCTAAAGTTCATAGCCACTCACACCTTGAGAGTCTCTTGGCCTGAAAGCCCTTAAACTGTGTCTCTGTGAATCAGTTATTGTTCAAAGCAAAAAAGGATAAGGTAGCAAAACGTCTACTAAGGATGTATTTTGATTTCTCTGACTTAATCTAATTACCTTTTTAAGGTGAACTTTCTGGGTCAGTGGCGCTCTTCGGGTCTGACACGTATTTGAAGGTTCTGCTCTTCCTGGAAAATGGAAGACTCATGAAACTCAATCTGTTATAATCGTTCACGTATTCAACAAGCCCGCGTGCAAGACTGTGGTGTGGGGAGGAGATGCAGATTTGCAGAGGCACGGCGCCCCCCCACCCACGGGCGCACCTGGCGGGAGAGACGGCGGGACGCTCTCCTAGCCCAGAAGTGAGGTGCCCCCCCAGCACGCCCTGGTGACGCCCAGGGTGACGTCACACAGACAGGCCCTGGATGGGCTCACCCATGGAAGAGAGCAGGGGCCAGAGGTGGAGGTCTGAGGGGCAGTTCCTTTTAAGGAGCAGAGAAAGAAGGAGGACCGGTCTGCGGTGTCACGTGCCTCGGGAGGAAGGATGGAGTCAAGACCATTTTTAAAGCAAGGGGTTGAGAAGAGAAAGGGGGAGGAGGGTGGGAGCTGATGGGAGGTGTGGACTGGAGGAATTATACAAGCCCTGTAAAATCCAAACGTGGCAGATCATTTCAGAGATCAGGCTGGGCGGTTGTGTTTGGAAGATGGACTTTGCTCAGAGGGCCAGCAGCACATCCATTCACAGGTGCCCCGGAGGTGCTCGGGAGGGTGGGACGGGTGATGGAGACTCTTGAGGACCAGGCACTGGGGATGCCGGGGTCTCATATGTGTGTGTCGGGAGATGCATGCTCGGCAGTGCCGGGTGGGATTCCCGGCCCCCTGCACAGCCCAGCCTGCGTGCCGCAGCCCCAGTGGGTGCACCTGCCCTCTTTGTTCAGACGCCGCAACGGCGGCTCTAGAACTTCAGAAGTTTCAGTGGAGTCATTTTAGACTCAATCACCTCACTTTTCCCCCTCGGTTTTTAGTTTCTGGGGATTCTTTTTAAGATTTTATTTATGTATTTATTTATGTATTTATTTGAGAGAGGAAGAGAGCATGAGAGGGGAAAGCAGATTCCCCGCTGAGCAGGGAACCCGACGCGGGACTCGATCCCAGAACTCCAGGATCATGACCCAAGACGCTTAACCAACTGAGCCACCCAGGTGCCCCTCTGGAGATTTTTAAGAGGGGAGAGAGAGACAGATGTCTCTGCCCATCAGCCAGGGGCCTTTGGCTTCCACGCCCATCAGTGTGTCCCGGAGAACCCAGGAGCAAGCAGGGGGTTGGCTCTGTGCCTTTTTGTGGTCGTGGGCATGAGCTTGGAAGGCTGAGCTGAAAAGCCGCTAAAGATATGGAAGTCCATTCATACTTGGAGACCATTTTCCAGTGAGTCACTATCAGAGGGTAAAGCCATGCCATGCTCTGCCTCCTGAAATCCTTCCTGGCATGTCAGATGGGGGCTTCCGAGAACGTGCTTTGCTTGACAGACAGGAATATCTGGCTCAAAGAAATCACTGCTGAACTGAGCAGCTCGTAACCCCGGGACAGCATTGCCCGTGACTCCCAGATGGAGAGCAGATAGCACGTTCGTCACCAGCAGCGTGTCTGAAATCAGGGAGCGGGGGGAGGGGCCTCAGCCATGCGGGCCTGGGGCTTCTCTGTCTGAGCAGAAGTGGGGAGAAGCCATGGGTTCACCAGCACTCGTCGGGTGCAGGACACCGCCCAGCGGGAAAGGCTCGTCGAGGACAGCCCTGCCGTCAGTCTTCAGCAAGTTACACTGGAACCGGGAACGTGCCAGTAAACGAGCCGAGGTGGTCTGCGTGCAATCCCATGGTTGCATGACCTGCTCTAACAGGAAACCAGGCCCATCTCGGGGCGCGTTCCAGGCAGGGTTAAATTACGGGGGGCAAGTGCATAAGGTATTACGGTCTAGTTACAAACTTAGAAGGGCATGGTGGTTCTTTAATTTATTAATAAGCCAAGCTGATTTCCCTCTTGCGCTGCTAGAGGTTGACTTCTCATCGTGCTTATCTCTTGTTTTCTCTTGCATGTTCTTCTCCTTTCTGTGTCTATACTTCTCTCTCCTTGGCAGGACTTCTAGCTCCATTTAGGATCAGAGCACCCATGAGGTCAGCGGACTGCTTGACTAAGTCCTGCTCGCTGAAAGGTGCAGGAGGGCTGGAGCCTTGGGCTGCCAGGGCGGGGTAGGGGATGGCCCTGGAGGCCAGAGCGCCACGCTCCCGTGCTCATCGTGGGCGGGCGGGGAGTGGTGGCGTCCAGATGGATGGGTTGCTGTGAACTGAGTGAGGGACAGAGAAGGAGAATGGGTGCTCGCTGTTCTTGGGTCCTTGCTCAAGGGAGCAGGGCTGGAGGAAACAAGGTAGCAAGTTCACTTTTGGGTCTAGAGTGTCTGCGGATCCGTAGGCAGAGGGGCAGCTGTGGGATGGGGGCTGGCTCCTCCCAGGCATCCTGACGCAGGGAGAGTGGACCAGCATCCCCAGCTGGAGCGAAAGGAAAGAGGGGTCATGGCAGAGCCCAGTCCTTTACAGGACGGGGACCAGGAAAGGGGGCACACAAAGGTTGGGGGTGCAGAGAGACCCCGGCAAGAGCTGACGTCCACAACGCTCCAAGGATCTGGAAGGCCACGGAAGGCCTGCAGCAGCCTTCACACCACCGCGTCCCGTCCTGCGGTGGGGCAGAAAGCAGCTCGCACGGGTTCGAGGTGTGAGCGGGAGACCAGAAGTCGCTGTGGAACGTGTCCGGGTTCTGTCTGAATTCAGGAAAGCTGCTCACAATCGTGACACTTCCCAGAGTGACGAAGCACATTCCGAGGGGCGAGGGCAGGGCAGCTGGGCGCCTCCCCCGAGGCGTCTCCTGAGTCCTGCCCGAGGGACCCCGCGGGGCTGCACGCAGCGGTGGCCCAGCCAGCTACCATCTCTGTCCGGGCCACCGTCGGCGCCCGGCCACACGGGTGCAGAGAGAAGCCCCAGCCCCTCCCCCGGTGCCGCCCCCCGGGCTGCTCACACACACGGAGCACGGCCAACCCAGAGACCACGATGATGGCGGACAACGAGACAGACACGGGGAGACAGCTCCTAAGACGGAGAGCCAGGCTTTCTGGGGGCATCTCATGAAGATGCTGGACTCCAGCTGAGCGGTGGATGAGCTACAACGTGAGTATTCTGACCCCGAAGACAGCAGGGACTTACTGTGTTGATCACACTTCCTCTAGGACCACGTATCGTGTGTCCCCATAATCACTCCCTGTGTATCGAGTGAGCCGTGGGCATCCTCACGTGTCACCTGGGATGACCTGGGATCACACCAGGAGCGAGTGTGTGCCTTGGAGATGGAGCTCTCCTGCGTTGTTGCCTTCCATTTTGTGGATGAAAATTGCTTTTTTTTTTTTTGAACAAATGCCTTTGAGAAGAACGAATGTTCTGGAGGCTGTTTTGCCCCATGTCATGAGAACAGTGCAACAGCTGAGTCACTCCTCTGGAATGGATGTTAATGTCATTTGGTTTCCTCCCGCCCAGGACCCCGGGTTTCGTGTCTGCACAAATGAGCCATCCATTATCTTTCCACCAGACTGAAAAAAGATCAATTTCTCGTGGTTTGTTGTTCTTTTTTTAATTGCGGATGTGTGTTCAGTGTCCGTCCAAATCACTCCAGGCCGGGGAGTCTTCGGAGGGAAGTCCAGGATGTCCAGATAGCCATCTGCGGTGTCAGACAGGACTGCGAGCGCCAGCCCTTTGTTCGCGGGATTTATCCCTGACGGCGGGCTCAGACGTCCAGCTCACACACGCACCCTGCGCCCGGTGACAGTGCGTCACGTGGCTCTGACTGGCCAGGAGCTCCAGAAACGGGGGCACCAGGGGTTACTACTGGTAACATCTTGGCAAGAACACTTTGTGGAACAATTTCCAGAATATCAGATACTTTTAAAGATGTGAATAAGGAAGGCTGAATTTTGAGCTGCTTTCCTGTCTGCCAGGGAAGCTTCCCCGGCACCAAACTCAAGGGCAGCGTGGAGTACGCAGAATTAACGGACGAGAACACGCCAGGCCGCTCCCCACCAACTAGCCGTGTGACCTGGGCCGGACCACTCGGGGCCCAGAGTAGGCGACGTCTTTCTCTAGGAGCTGTCCCCAAGCTTGTCATTCCATGTGTCCACGGGTAAAGATGTGTCTAGGTGCCCCAAGGTGCTTCTGACATCCTGAGGGGTCTTCCAGCTCCCACACCTGTAACCCGGCCGTTGATAGACCACCTCATGCTTGGACAGCCCCGTGGGCTTAGGGAACGTGGAAACCCCCTCACCCCCGATGCGTAGACTTCTGCCTCTGGTGCTGACATCTGGGCCCCCCCTTTCTGGAAGCCTCCGGTCATGAGTCCCCGCCCGCGTCTCCTTCAGCACCTCTTCCATCTTCGAGGGGTCCCTTTCTCTCACGCTTGCTCTCGGAAACAGCTACCAGCCTCTCTCGTAATGTCCCGGCAACATCCGAGCAGAAGTCACTTTCACACCTTTGTACTTGATTTGCAACCAAGCGGCCACCCCCTCTGCCGCGGGCTCCTCCTCCCCCCCAGCGGAGCCCCGCCACCATCAGGAACGGCGGTGGCAGTGCGGGGCCTGCTCTCCTGGCTTGGGTTCCGTGAGGTCACCCAGTCTTCGTGGCCACGACGGCCTTCTCCCCAAGAAGCAGGGCCTGGCTTGATTTTCCAGCAACTTCCCTGTATCTGAAAACTTACTCTCCAAGATCCAGCTGAGCCTCTGCCCGGGCGATGCCTAACAATTCAGTCTTCTTACCAAGAAAACCCTCCTCATCCGTTGAGAAGTCCGCTGGTTGGGGGTCTGTGCGTGGACGCTGGAGAGAGCGTGGCCATGGGGCCCATCTAGCTGCCCCCCCTCCAGGTGTCCTGATGTTTCCGCCCGTCCCCCTGCAGCCCCCCAGCCCCCCTTGCATACCTTTTGACCGGTAACAGAAGTGACTCGTTTGGGTTTCACCTTCTCTTTCTGCCCTGGTCACTTTCTAGCAGGAGGGGGAGTAATGAGCCGTGAAATGGCGGCCGCCGAGCAGCAGTGTTGGGTTTCAGCAGAAAAGCAGATCTTAGGTCATCACCCAGGGTTGTGGCGGGCTCTGTTCTGTTGGGTCGGCGTGAACCCCGGGCATACGTCGGCTTCTTTCCGTCCATTGGTCCGTTGCTTTTGGCCTGACTGTGGCCTCGTGGGGATCAGTGGAAGAGACGTGTTCAGGCTCCAAAGTCCTACCCGTTCCTCGAGTGGAGGTCGTAGACACAGCGGCAGGCCCTCCGGAAGGGCTCTGAGAAGCCGGGCACCAGCCCCCCTCCAGGCCGTGGCTCATGCTCACCCACAAAATGGAGGTGAGAACAGCGCCTGCCTCACAGAGGTGTTGTGGGCATTAAATCCCTTTGCTGTTGGAGAGTCTGCACACCTCACGTACATAAATGCTCTCTGCTCCGGGATGGTGGGTTGCTCTCCTGACTCGGGCCCCCACGGGGAGCCATCTCTTGGAACTCTGCCCTGGGTCTGCGTATATCGGGTCCTCCGGTATCTGTATCGACTTAGAACCCCTTCCTCTGGGCAAGTCAAAAGGGAAGGGAATTATGAAATAATTCATTACTGTTAGCTCAACCACCCTGTGAAAAGAACGGAATCGGATACGCTCTTTAGACACCACTGGAATCCTGCAGTGAAATTTTTCATCAGAATTTTCCCCATGGGAGGCTCGCGCTCCATGACAAAGGAGGGGCCTGCGCTCTGTTCCGGGGAGGGGGGTCACGGTAACCCAAAACAGTCACAAAATCTTGGACGCAGCAAATCTGAAGTCGGAAGTGGGGCGGGGTCTTGCTCCCAAAGAGCGCGGCTGACTGCCACCCAGTGCTGGCCACGGGAACTGCAAGGCGTTGCCCACCTGCCTTCCTAGGCCCCAGGAACAGAACAAAAGGCCTAGAAGGCCGTAAGAAGGTGTCTTCTGTTGACGGAAAGTTAAATTTTTATTCTAAAACAGAAGCGTTCAGGAAGTGTTGAAAATGTTCCTCTTACAGCTTTGTACAGACCCGTGTTGGCAAACTCAGCCCTTTCCTCCATAACCTTTACTCCTCCTGAGTCACGGTATTTGTGCTAAATGGTTTGAGCATGTTCCGTGTATCACCCACAGTTGTCCTCAGACGGCTTGGTTCAAATATTACCAGAACTAAATCCCTGGAGGAGGGAGTCCTGGCATTCCAGAACCCTGGCCTTGTGTCCTAGCTCTTGACTTCAGCAGATGGTTTTTCTTTATCCAATCCCACAGTTCTGATAAGGCTGGCGCCCCTTCCCACAAGTCTGGGGGGTTTCCTTTCGGCACGCACTCCCCCCGACAGAGCCAGATCACCTAGCGGGACCCACCCTCAGCAACGCCACGGGGCCGGTGCAGAGCGAGGCCAGGATCTAAGGCTGGAGGTGCCCCCGCAGGGCACACTGGGGGACAGAACCAGAGGGTGAGAGCCCTCCACCATGTTACCCCCTGGCACTGTTTCAGAAGTGCCCCAGAAATCATGAACTTGTTGTGATGGTCACCAAAGGGACTGAACATAGAACGCCTCTTCCCAGCGCCCGTGGGTAAAGGGCGTTGGCGCTGGAAATGTCTGTCATGCCACTTGGCAGGGAGTGTGTCCCTCGTGGCTCCTCACGCAGGAGCCCTGTCCATGCGACTCAGGTGACCAATCAGAGGAAGCCTCAGCCTTCAGGGCTTACGGGGCCTCCGGGCTAGGACAGTGCCCACAGCAGTGACCTGCACCCGCTGCATTTCCACAGCTCGCCCCGCACTTCAATGCCTAACTGCATCCATGTAGTTGCTTCTCTTAAAGCCTCTCATCACTCACCTCAGGGTGGCTTCGCGAGGTCTCAAAAGGGGAGACAAACAACCCGAGGGAACAATGTGGCCCCTGCCGTGGTGTTCTCAATCATGGAATAAGGTCTCTGACCTTCAGGAGTTTGCTTCTTTAACCCCTAGAAGTACAAGTATTATAAAGGCTGAAAATATGGAAAATTCTATCCTGAGGCATTTCGCGGGGCTCCAGTTCCCGTCCACTTTGAGGAGGCTCATGCGGGCCTCTGTGCGAGGGGCTGAGGGGGCCATCCTTGGGTTCTGAAGCGAGAGGAGGCCTTAGAAGGCTGTGCCCTCAGTTGACAAACACCAGTACGGCCTCAGAGGGTCAGTAGTGGGGGTCCCCCGGCCACGGCCATCAGAAGGATGTGCTGAAGTGCTCCCGGGCGGAGGGTCCGCAGAGCTGCCGCTGAGACCTTTCACCTCCCTGGGCTGTTCCCTCCCCTGTCCTGTGTGAGAATTAGATTTATTCCCAGCTCCCAAACCTGGCGATGCATCTGAGTTGCTTGGGGGACCTTGTCAAAAATACGGATTTCCAGGCTCTTCCTCCCCACCCCAAAACTGCTAGACTAGAAATTCTTGAGGTTAGAGACTTCCCTTAATTGATGCTTTGGCAGCCAACCGAGACCCGTCCTGGGGCGGAGACCACACCTGGGCTGATCTTCTCAAGCTCTGAAGCAAACCCCAGTCACCCAGGATCCTGTGGAGACGCCAATTCGATTCAGTGGGTCCGGGGCGGCCTGAGGACCCCCCCCCCCCCCGCTAGTGAGCTCCAGGGGAAGTGATTCGCTGCTCTGAGGACCTGCCCCCCTGTGCTCTCTGCAGTGCCTCCCAAATTGGATAATCAGTGAGGCCTTTGGGAAAGCAATAGGCGGTTATCGGTGGAGAAGCAGAGTTGCCGATCTGAAAAGTGGCATGAATGCTGCTCTAATCTGAAATGACTGTCACTGCCTAGGAGAATCTTCTAGAAGATGAGGCCCATGACCCTGGACCACAAAGACCGACATGCACTTTGTACAGTATCCGGGAAGGGAACATTCTTTTACCCGAAATAAAATGAAATCCGTGCCATAGGTGAGGCGTTTGGAGCTGAGTTTCTCCCGAGTTTCTGTGCAGCAGAAACTTTTTCCTCACCTGTCTTTCCCTGCCCCTGCGGAGGTTCGAGGCGACCAGCCAGCCGCTTCAGACGTTAGCCTTTCAAGTCGCTGCCCTTGAGCCGCGTTGCCCTGAGTGCTCCAGCCAATCTGGAAAACAGTTCTGCAACTTGCTGATAAAGTTAAACAGACTCTTATCATCTGACCCGGTAATCCCACTCTTGGGTATTTACAAAAACATGTGTCCATATGAGAAAAAAAACATACCTGAGAGCTTATAGCAGCCAGATGCATGTGCCCCAAAAACCAGAGGCAACTCCAAGGCCCCACAGCGAGCGGACGGGTAAACAAATTGTAGTTGTGGACTGGGACAGAACTCTCCTCGGTGACCGGAAGACACACCGTGCATGCACACAGCAGGGCAGGCGAGCCCCCAGCGCGTTGTGTGGGTGAAAAAAGCCGGACTCGCTGCAGGACACGCCGGGGGATGCCGCCAGCATGACTGATCGTCTGGAAGAGACAGACCGAGGCCGGGGAGGGGCCGCAGGGGGCCCGGGGCGAGGCGTGCTGAGCTTGCAGAACCCACACAACCTCGCACCAAAACCGCAGGTTGTGCTGTAAACGCAGAAATAAAGTCTTTCAAAAATGGAAATGGTAAATCACTTTCGTGGAAATATAATAACAGATAAGTAGGTTAAAGCCAGGGAAGGAGGAGGAGAAGGAAAGGGAGGAAGTCCCCTCTTCTGATGACAGAAAACGTGGATCTCTATTTCAAAATGGCCCTATTCGGGAATATTTCAAATAAAGATTAACAGGGCAAAAAAAAATGTGTGTGCCACAGCCAAGTTGGAACCCTCCCTTACCCTTAACCTTTTTCCCTTTGTTGGCCAAAGTTCTTTTTCATAACAGACCAGCTCAATATAAGACCAACCTCAAGAATAGTTTTCTTTCATGTGAGTGTGTTTAGTCTAAATGCAAAATGGATATACTGCCAGTTCCGTTCCTGTTCTGTGCCACTCTCACCAGAACGGTGCTCTGCATGCCCGCCGGCCTGGTGGACGACCTCGGCAGGGAGGCCGGCATCTGGAGGCCCCGCACACGGGTGTTTCCTGCACCGCCCCCCCCCCGCGCCCCTGTCTGCAGGCAGCGTTCCTGGGGCTGTTGCCCAATCGCAGGGCAAGGACAGAAGCTCTCGGGGCCTACTGGGAGTCACGTCACCCTTGAACGTGACCTAGGAGTATGATCAGGGGAGACCAGCGAGGGATTGCCACGTGCAGATGGCACGTGGAAATGAAAGGGTCTGCCGCCAAGGCCGTCTGTGTGGACAGCTGTTAGTTACTGTGGTTGCAGGATTTGGTAACTCCAGCATCGCCTCCTACCCCAGTTGTCACGTGTAGCCAAGAGCCCTTGTGTCACGAACTCATAAGGACAGAAAGGCTGCTCGATGAGGAGGCTCCGGGCACTAATACTGTATTCCATGCAGTCGGTGCTCAGTTAGAAAGAGCGTTTCCTGCCAGTGGGCGGCCCGTGGCCCCAGAGTCTGCCCTTCCAGACCGTTCTCGGCTGCCATCTGTGCTCCCGGGGCCCTGGGCTCATCCACACGCCACTCCGCGTCTTCTTGGAAGACAAGAGCCTTGGGAAATCTTGTCGGTGTGTTGGGCAAGCGACCACGTTTAGACAAACAAAATGTATTTATTGCTGCAAGCCAGGGAAGGCTTTCCCAGATCAACTTCTCCAACATATGCCAGGCAGAATCACATCCAGACTATAAAAAGCGTGGCCTCACGTTGGGGTAAAGGCCATCGAGTGTGACGGCCCACGTGCTGCCTATTTTTAGAATAAGGAGCAGAGTTTCCAGATTTTGCTCCTATGGGTAGGAACCAGGAGATGACCCATCGTTTCTCTGCTTTAAAATGTGAATCCGTCCAAGTCAGATCATTTCAGGTAAAACTGTAAAGCAGCATCTCAGTAAAGGTGACGCGTCTGGTTTTGTTCTTCATGAAGACTGTGCCCCGTGGAGGCGAGGGACGTCCTGGACCTGTCTTTGGCTCCTGAACCTGGTTTGGTCCTGACCCGCTTCCGGGTCTGCGGCTCAGCGGGTGGGTGCTGGACGGCTCCCCTTTCTGTCCACCTTGCGCTCCACAGATCAGATTCCAGATGCGGACTCCGGACAAGGCCTTCATTTGTGTGGGTTTGTTTTTTGTTGTTGTTGTTTTCATTTCCCTTGCAGAAAAAGCTTTGGACTTAGTGTTTTTTAACAAGGCATTTTGAAAGTGTCCGCTCTTCTTTCTTTCCAAAACATTATCTATCTTGTAAATTCACTTACAGGGATGTACCAGAAGGACTTGGCCGTGTGAAAAATGTGCCTATGAACGTCAGGCCTTATCTTCTGAAACTCTGCTTTTCTCCTTTTCTGTTTGTCCCTTTGTTTTTAGGATATTTTATCACCATAGCTTTTCCATGCAATTCAGTGAATACTGACAAATGAGTACAGCTATGTAGTAACCACCAGAATCGCGATATGAACCGAGTCCATTCCCTCCCTCCATCCCCACCCCTGGCCACCACTGCTCTGTTTCCCGTCCCTGGTTTTGCCTTCTCTTGAATGTCGCATAAATCAGATGACAGCATAGCGTCCTATCAACCAGACGGGCGGGATGTGCTTCCCTCTCTTAGCAGAACGCCTCTGGATCCGTCTTCACCGCTGTGCTCATGAGGCTAAGCGGTGGCCCGCTGTGTGAACGTACCAGTTGGTCCACTCATCAGCCAGTGGACATTCAGGTTGTTTCTGGGGTTTAGCTAAAATAAATCGAGCCACTATGAACGTTTACCTACAGGTCTTACGGTAAGCGTACGTTTATAAGAAACCGCCATGCTTTTCCAGAGAAGCTGCCCCATTCTGCATCCGCACCAGCGGGTTCCTCCACATGCCCTGCAGGACCCGCGTGGCGGTCTGCCTCTGTGATCCGGGGCCACAGTTGTCCTTACCGTGGACCTACCTGGTGGCTAGCGGAGCAGACCTGCTTCTGTGCGCTTGGTTTCCACCTGCTCACCTTCTCTGAGCAAGCCCCTGTTCAGATCTCACTTGGGTTGTCTCTTATTCTTGGTTTCTGGGTGTCCTGTCTGTATTCTGGACAAAAATCATTTATCAGAAATACGTCCCCCAGTCTGCGGCCTGCTCCTTATTTCTTGACAGTATCTTTACGATCAAACCTTTCAGTGTTTTCAACGTTTTTCTTATATGGTTCATGATCTTTGTGTCACATCCAGAAATGTTTGCCTAACCCAAAGTCACAAATACTCTTCCCTGTGTTTTCCTCTAGAAAGATTAGAGTTTTAGCGCTTATGTTCAGGCCTACAACCCCTGTTGACCACACGTTTGTACGTGGAGCAAGGTCAGGGTCAGGGTCTGTTTCCTTACACGCCGATGTGTCCCCTTTGCCCAGATCTGCTGCTACGATCTGTACCAGATGGTTCTGGAGAGCAGGAGTCCCAAGGCCCGTACAATCCCTCCTCAGATAGGTGGGATCCTTAATCTGGAATAGTACCACGGGCGGGGCTGACGTTCTCTTATATCAAGTAAGAAACTCTAGACAAAAGGTGGCAGGTTTAGCATGAGCTCCGTCCACTTCCCGTGGATTAGGCAGCTGCCCCTTGTTCGCTGGCTGTTGCTGTGTAGGCACCGTGCAAACACCTCCATGTTACCGTTAGCTTGGAACACGGTGTTCCTTCATCCTGCCACGGTCGTCACAAAAACTGCTCACAAATGGTAATGATTATCCCTAAGAAGCATGGTTCATTCTAACTGGTGTTTTGGATCCCGAAAAAGCAGTCCTTCCCAGCTTCTGGGCCGTTTTACGTATTTTCGAATGAGCTGGGGCTTGGGCTGGAATCCCCAGAGGGTCATGGAGAAGGGCAGCGTCGGGAGGGCCGGGAAGGCCTGGGACGCACTGCCAACAGCTGAGGAAGGGAGGGGCTGCCCAGGGGACTGGAGAGGATATGGGGTGTCTGCGGGGGCCCGCTGCCCATAAAAGGCAAGACAGGAAAAGCAGACTTCAGAAAGAGAAGGGATTTCCTACTATTCACGTGTTGGCCAGTAAGTCATGAAGAGCTTGTTCTACCAGGAAAATACTGTACATAAATTAAAAATCCTGATGTTCAGCGAAGCGGGCTTTGTCCTTGGAAACATTCCTCTTTATCCGTCCCTGACAGAGGAAGCTCTTTTTACCCTCCTCCCCACTGTGTCCTGTAAGGCTGATAAGCTACGGATAGAAACAGGCACCCCTTGGAGTTGCGTGAATGGGAGACGACCCTTGCCAGGCCCGGATGGTCATCAGCCCCGCTCCTGTATGTCAGGATCTGAAGGTCCGGAGTCATTCCACGTGTGCCCATAGCTGGGGATAGTCTACCTTTTCTCGGAAGTGAACACTCCACGTGCAGGAAGGCTCAGTAAGCGTCTCAGGGCTTGAAGTGCCTTCTGTCCACAGCCGTGGTATTTAAGCAATGTGGATTCAAGTCTGGACTCATTCCCTCCGCCTTTGCAGACTTCGGCTTCCAAGGCTGACCCCGGATCCCACACACACTCCCGTACTGGTTTCAAGGAGGGAGAGGTGAGGAGCAGCCGTCCATCCTCCCAGGGATCAAAGTTTATTCGGGTCTGTTGCAGACAGGACCCAGAAAATTGAATTAGAAATAGCCCTTAACACACATAAATATTACATTTTCCTCTGCCTGGTGCAGGAAGAGGAACATTTCTTCTAAGATCCAACTTCATGCTTGAGATTTTTATTAAAAGATACCAGTCCTTCTATACGAATGTCAGGAAAGGAAGGAGGGTGGTATCAGGCAGTGATCCTCACACTTTACTGCACAAAGTAACCTCCTGGGGGTCGTGTTCACTGCAGCTCAGGAGGGTCTGGGCCGAGCCTGAGACTCTGCATTTCTCGCAGGCTCCCAAGTGGTGCTGATGCAGCTTGGGGATCGCCCGCTCCCATTACTCCCAGCGGTGTGTGATGGCAGATGGAAGGCTTGGGGATCGCCCACTCCCAGACCTGTGTGACACTTGGCTCTTTGTGCAGGACCTTCCTGAGCCCCTGTTGTCTCCTCTCAGGTGGGGGTCATGGCCAGTATGCATGTGGCATGGGGGTAACATGAGATAAGCATTTTTTTAAGACCTGTAACAGTGCTTCACCCCAGAAGATACATAATTAAATGGTGCTTATCTTTGTCCTGTTTCCCAGCAAGTAACACATGGATATGAATCAGACTGGTGGGCGGGGGTCACGGTACATGGTCTCTCCTTTCCACGGTGTCTGCTGGCTTTTGACAAACATTTTGTGGAAATACTTGTATCAAGTAGATTGCAAGAATCTTAGGAGCTTTAGAGATTTGTGCAGTTATTCAAACTAGAGTCCTACACTTCCTGGGGTAATTTTTGTTTTTAACTTCACTTCCAACAGAAGGAAGGGAAGAACTGGAAATAGGTTTTCTGACTGTGACTTTCCCACTCAGGATGGAAGTTGATGGTCATTTTAGCAGAAAGGAAGGTCCTTTTCGTTCCTTGGTCATTCCAGCCGCTCTTTACAAACACACTAGGTGCCCGGGCGGGCAGGATATCCTCGGGGAACTCTCAGACCTGATGACTGAAACATGCATAGCAAGGTCCTTGACCTTGACGTCAATGCCCCTTTAGCCACAGCCGCACAGGGTGTGTCCTATGGGCAAGAGCGAGTGTCCAGTCCCCGGGGACAAAGGTCGAATTCAGACCCTTCCTGGCCCTTCCCCAGGGCGGAAGCTGGGTGGAATTTGTGAAATGTTCCATCTGTGAGAAGCTCAAGATAATCTCTTCAGAATGACACCATCTTCACACCCCCTGCGATGCCTATAATTCTGGAAAATGGAAAAAAGCAAGTGCCAGCAAGGACGTGGCACAATTTGGAACCTTCACACATTGCTGCTGGGAATGCACACGGCACGACCACTGTGGAAACCAGCAAGGCGGGGCCTCCAAAAGTGAAACGGGATTGCCAGAAGGTGCAGCGATTCCCTTCCTAAGTTTATACCCT